GAGGAGGGGAGACCCCACTGCAGACCACCAGGAGGTGGGGAGACCCCACTGCAGACCACCAGGAGGAGGGGAGAACCCACTGCATGCCAGCAGAAGAGAGGTGACGAGGGGTAGAGGGATAGAGGCGGCAGGATGGAGGGCAGTGGATCTGAGATCCATGGAGGCAGGGGGAGAGTCCCCCACCCACTGGTCCATAGCCCCAGGGTCACAAGTGCAAATGGCAAAAGGGGCCTGCTCCTCTGGCTTTCCCTCTCAGGGGGAGGCACTCATAGTTGGGTTTTGTGGGTGAGATTTAAGGACCTCAAAGGACCCTTGGGTAACACTGGGGAGATGGTGAGTCTGAATCTACCAGCCTGTCTACAGGCCAGGTCTCCTCCCAGGCCTTCGGGTCTGACTTCATCTGGGCCAGCAGCATCTCAGAGAAACTCTGAGCTCAGCCAGTACCTGGTCGCGGCCCGCAAAGAGCGTGTACCTCCTTGTTCTCCTCCTTGTCCATGGCGGTCCACACGAAGCCAAAAGCCCCGCTGCCCAGCGGGCTCAGGGTGCTGTATTTGTGGGAGTACGCACCCTCGCAGGCTGCCAGCCCCTCCAGCTCAGTGGGTTTTGGGCACTCCTCAAACCAAGGCTTAGCTCTGAGCATCTGTGAAGATGAAAATAGTCTAAGCCTCCGCAGGGCTATGCCCCATGAGCACTAGAGAAACACCTGCACACAGGCCCCCAAACCAAACGTGATCTCACACCTCCACACTGTGTACCCTGCACATCCACACTGCACCCCCTGCACCTGTATCTCCACACCTCACCATATACCCTGTGCCTCCACACTTGCACATCACACCCCCCATACCTCCACATCCCACACCTCCACACCCTCAACCTCCACTCGACACAGCCCACACCTCACATACTCCACACCCCGCAGCTCCATGCCTCCATACCCTACACACCGCACACCTCCATCCTCCAAGCCCCACAACCTCACACCCCACACTTCACACCCTCATATCCCACACTCCACACCCTCACAACCCTACAGAAAAGCCTAAAGGATACTTTTTCCCCGGTGGAGGCAAAAAGGCACCTGCACTGACCCCTCCTCTCACCTCACCAAGGCTGGAGCCTGACAGCTCAGCCACAGAGTGTGTGGAGCTGGGCACACTGGCCAGCAGCAGGCGGGTGCGGGCAGCTGCGTCCCGGTGGCTGTGCAGCAGGTCTTTGACCAGCCAACAGCAGAACAGTGTGGCTGCACCACTGAGCTCCACACGCCGTACCTCAAACTGCACACCTGGAGTGGATGGCCACAGCATCAGCAGAGGGGAGGGCAGCACAGGGCAGCTGCCCACGTGCCCACTCAGCACAGATGCCAACAGCCCCAGAGGAACCAGAGCTCAGGGTCAGGCAGCAGAGCAGAGCCCAGCCATGGCTTCTCCCATCCCTCAGGCAATCCTCCAGAACACACCCTGAGGGACCCACCTGCTCCGTCCCACACTGACCCAATAAGCACTTCTGCCTACACAGAGGGTGGCTCTGACAGGCCGGGGAACAAGTGCACCCTTTCACTGGCCCTGAGGACATACTCAGTCGAGAGCCATCTCGGTGGTAGCAGCTGCTCAAGTAGGTGCCCTCCTGGATCACACGAGGTGGAGTCAGGGCCCCCAGTGGGATGCTCTCCCCTTTTGTGGGCGTGGAAGTCCCTTGAAGGCCCAGCTCCTGGGGCTTGCTGTGACGGAGCATGTCCCCAGGACCGGCTTCAGGAGGCAGAGAGGATAGCAGATGGGTTCCAGGCAGGGCCGGGTGGCTGTGGGTCAGGCAGCCCATGTGAGAAGTGCTAGGGTCAGAGGAGGTACCAGTGAGCAGCAGTAGGCCCTCCCGGCCCAGCCCTGGGGAGTCCGCCTGCCGTCCCGGAAGGTCGTCCTCATCCACGTCAGACGGCGTCCGAGTGAGGTCCGAAGTGGAGCAGGAGCAGCTAGAGGCCGTGTGGGCCATTTGCTCACTCAGGAAGAGCTCCTTGAAGTCCCAGGAGAAGGCAGCCACATCAGCACCGTGTCCATCGGTGGGGCCCAGGGCACCAGGGAGGTCTGTGGCCAGCGCGTAACAGGCAGAGGAGCTGCCCGAGCGGCCACCCTGCAAGGCTCTGCAGCCAAGGCTGCAGACTGATAATGGCTCAGGCAAGGGGGGGCATCCTGGGGGCCGAGGTCTGACGAGGGGGAGGCTGGTGGCCCCAGGTAGGCTCTGCGCAGACAGCTGCTCCTTGATGAGACAGGTCCGCAGCTCCTCCCTGTCACTGGCCCCTGCCAGCCACAGTTTGTCCAGGAAGACGAGTGCTGAGCCGAGGGGCCTCAGGTCCCTCTGCGGGGCAAGCAGCTCAGTCCCACACCGGGGACAGTGCATCAGGATGCTGGTTTCAGCGAGCTGGCTCACAGCGTGGGGCTGCGGCATAGCAGCCGCAGCCTGAGTGCTAAAGCCCAGGGTCCCCGCTGGAGCCAGGTCTCCCTCCAGAATGTTCTGCGTTCTGCTGTCCACTGGAGCTGGAGTACGGGAGTGCTCCTGCACAGCCCGCAGACTCTCCTCCCGAGGCTCACGCTGGCTGCCGTCCCCAGGGCCCTGCCTGCTCTTCTGGTCCTGGGCCAGCGAGTATCCTCCTACAGTGTCGGCCCTGCAGACAAAGAGACGAATCACAGCTCCTTACTAACGAGCTCAGAGATCAGAGGGACCACACTGACCACCTGTGAGAGACCCAGTCAGCCCAACACCAGTCTTCTCGAGGGCCTCCTGACCACGCCCCTTCGGCAGCCAGAGTACCCCAAGGGCCCAGGACAGGGAAGACTTGGCTTTTACTGAGAAGTCTGCATTGAGACCGAGAGAGAGAATGTGGGAAAATACAGAGACAAGCACCTTTAGAACATCTGCATATGGATGGAGCTCTGGTGGCCTAGTGGGTAAGGGCAAGGAATAGCACTGCCAATCCAAAGGCAGGTAGTTCAAACCCACCAGCTGCTCCAAGGGAGAAAGACAGATGATCTCTTTTCATGTGATTTACAGCCTCTGAAAACCTAGAGGAGGGCCAGCTATCAGTCAGCTCCAACTCGACACCCATGAGTTTATTTCTATTCAGTCAGGGATTCCAGTGGGACAAACAGTAGGGGGCTGAGTCGCTAAACCAAGGCCATGGCTCTCTGGTGGTTCAAATCCTCAAGCAGCTCCAAGGGAGAAAGCTGGGGAATCTGCTTTCACTTTAGAAACCTAGTGGGGGACAGTTAGGAATCGTTCCAACCTGACGGCAATGACAACTTTATACATACAACCAACCCCCTTCTAAAAGGAACAAAAGCCATCACACGTACACACAGATGCACACACGCACGTGCACACCCCATAAAGGTACACACATGCATGTCTATATGCACACACATGCCTACACAAGTGTGCACACGCCTCAAGAAAGCACACACACACAAACACCAACACATGCATGCACAACAGGACACACATACCTCTAAGCAGGCACACAGTTCTAAGCACGTACACACATTCCTATACATGTACACACAGCTCTAAGAATACACGTGTCTATATGCACACACAGCTCTAAGCATGTACACATGTGTCTACATGCACACACAGCTCTCTAAGCATGTGCACATGTGTCTATATGCACACACAGCTCTAAGCAGGTATACACGTGTCTATATGCACACACACACATGCCTACAGATGCACACTCACACCCCTAAACAGGCACACACACGCCTATTTGCACATACACAGAAATGCCCACACGTGCATGCACAGGAGTACACATGCACAGACTCATATCCCGAAGCAGGCACACAATGCCTGTATGCTCACATGTACATATATATCTACATGTACAAATACAAGCACACATCCTTAAGCAGATGCACACATGCCTATACCTACAAATACAAGCATGCACACATGTACATATTCACACAGGAGCATGTGTACACAAATATACATATACAGAAGCACGCAGAAATTGCACATGTACACTCTCTGTGTAAGTATCTGTGAACACAAACATGCATAGACATACCTGAAAATTCAATGCACGCACACACATATCCAAACAGGTATGTGTCAAGTGTACATGCACATATACAGCTGTGTGAATAAGCTAAGAGCAGACTAGGAACGTACGTGTGCATACAGGCTTGTACAGAAATGTGCGTGCATGCATGCACACTACACACACATGCACTTACACACACACTCAGGCACCCAGAGAGGCATGCAGGATCACCAACACATAACTGCACGCACACAGACAGGTACTAAGGTGCACTGCCAAGAACCACCTCTTTTGCTTTTAAGGATTATTCTGCATTTTAGGAAAATAAAACAAATCCACACTCAATCATTGGCACTGAGTCACAAGTGACTCAGCTGACTGACTGGAGACTTTTCAGGAGGCCAGAAATTGCACAGGAGGAGACAGCTTATCCTTCTTTGTGGAGGGGCTGGTGGCTTCACAGCACAGGGAGGCATCAGCACTGGATAAGCACTGTAGCTCCTGTGAACTGTGCCACTGGAACTCCCTGTTGTGTGCGGTCAAGTCGGAACTGACCAGAGCTGACCTTCCAGCAGGCCTTCAGAGGCAGTGAATCCTTCTCCCATAGAGCAGCTGGAGAATTTGAATCACATGCCTTATTTCCTAATGTCTGCTAGATAATGATTGGAGTGGTGTCCAAACATCTAACGTTTTGCTCTGAGTTACAGATATACTCAGAAGACGACTCTGCTATGTAAAACATACAAAAGAAGTTGGCTTTTACATACAAAAGGTGTATATCCTGGAGACTTCAATACACCCCTTTCAAGAAAAGATAGAACTACTAAAAAGAATCTCAACAAAGATACTACAGAATTAAACCACACACTTAACCAACTCAATCTCATAGATATTTACAGGCTAATGCACCCAAAAAAAGCACAATATACCTTCTTTTCCAACATGCATGGAACGTTCTCCAGAATAGACCACATTCTACGTCACAAGGCAAGCATCA